ATATAAATATATAGATATATAGATATAAATATATAGATAAATATAATAATATAATGTGTAAAAAATTACCCAAAATTTAATTTATAAAATGAAAAAAAATATATGTCGGTTTTCCGGGATTTTGAGATTTCCGGGGGGGGGGGGTGAAAATTATTTATGTCATCATTATTGGCAGATTATTCCAGCCAAATTAAAAAAAAAAGTAAGTTTTTACGGTAAATTGCAAGTGGGCTCAATTCTTCCATGGTTTCTCATATTTCCCGGCCAGTGAAAAAAAAAATTTTATCTGCAATGGAAGCCGAGATAATGTAAATTTTTCCTACGTGTTTCAATTTGAGTTATTCCCTCCACTTTCCTATATGGATCTTTCGAAATTACCTTCGTTTCGAAGGGCTGTAAGTTTCGAAAAATTGGATGAATTTTATAGCTATAACTTTCAATATTAAGTTTAGATTTCATTCAAAATTTGTGCAAATTTTACTTCTTAATCTTTATAAATAATGGGGATATGATTTTTTTAAAAATAGTCACTAACTTCGTTCTTATTCTTCATAGGTTTTTCTAATGTGAGTTTTTTTACCAGCTATCCAATGGTTGTTTGTTGGCTGTGAAATCGATGATTTTGCATAACCAGACTGGGCTAAATATTTTCTGCATAATTCAGTTTGTTCGTATGATTTTTAGAGGTTCAGTAACATTTTCGTCTCTGATGACTGGAGTAAGTATTACAGTCCTGTATATTTTTAATATGTTTAATTATTCAGTTAGTAAAAAGGCGAATAAATAATTTATAATTTCTTTGTTTAATAGTATTATACTGTTTTTTCTTATTGGTTAAAACATTCTATTTAGTTTATTGGTAATATTTAATGGTTAAAACAGTTCCAATTTTTTTCTATGTAATACATAAATATTCTAACATCGTTATGTCAGTATAACTGACCTCCCAAACCTATAAGTTTCGTGTAGAATGTTAATATAAGTGATTCATTTTGTCGCCGAATCACATTTTAAGAAATATCACTAATAGGCAAATTACGGAAAGACCAGACAGTTTTAGCGAATGCGTTACAAAATTTTACATATTAAATAGGAGCAATCGTTACGAAATATTGAATAGTTTGAATATTTATTTTATATATACGGATTTAATAATCAATTATGGGAGAAAGTAAAATGTACAATATGACAAATAATTCTTTCACTCTCACAGAGATATAATTGATATATTAATTATTAATGTTTAGAACATCAAAATGTTTGAATAGGTTGGAATTTTTTAATAGTTTCTATTTTTTAATTTAATGTGTATTTAATATTGTCACTGATAATATAATCTGTGATACTAAAAATACATAAAATAATCCGTAACACGTCTAATTATTAGATTGTGTGGACCAGTACTAAGAGACTTCATTGAAGATGAAATAAATGTTAAAAAGAAAAAAGAAAAGACAAAGTGGATCTCGCGCTGGAAAACATGTGAAAATATCGTTAGTGTTTGTGCAAAGGGTTATAAGTAGAGACTAGATTACATGCTCTAAAAAATGGTTAAAATATGCATGCAACATGCACTTAAAAAGTAACCAAATATGCCTTTATTATATGCAATATGCATTTATATATGCACTTTAAAAACATATTTTTTAATTTTTAGGGCTTGAGATTTGGTGAGAAATAAAATTATAGTATAACTTAGAGAGTGTTTATTTATTACTACATTTAATAAAAAAATATAAATGAAAATTCACAAGAAAATGTCCTATTTCTTGCTGTTAAAGTATATAATCATAAAATGTTTTCAAGCGTAATGTTATGCCTTCTATCAGTTAATATGTGTTTATATGAGAAAAACGATCTTTCAACATCACAGGATGTAATTGGCGCAAATCTAAAATTTGACACTAGCAAAGGATTCATATTAATAACTTTGTTAAAGCTTCCATTAATTATTTTATTTATTGATCGAAATAAAGAAAAGCATTTATTCCGGTTTAAAACTTTACTAAATATATCTTTAATTTGTTTTCTTGTCCCTGAAAGGTCTACTATTCTTTCTTTGACAGAATCAATCATGCAAATACTATCATTTAAAGATAATTTTTGACACTCTAGTTTTGTAATAGAGTTTACAATGATGTCAAAATTTGCTTTTATATAGGACAGTTCATTCTGAACAGAATTCTCACTAAAAATATTTTGACATTTCTGAACAGCAATGCAACAAGAAGGATCAAAATTTGATATAACATTTTTGATATCAATATAATTATTTGCAAGAAATATGGCACTATTCTACCACGTCCCCCATCTAGTCAACACTGGTTCCGGTGGCAAAGGGATATCGGGAAGCATCTCCCTATATACTTCTACTCGCAATGGTGCTTTTAAAAATACTTTCTTTACATTGTTGATTAAAGTGTTTACATTTGAAAACTCGAGTCTAACTTTCTCTGCCACCCTGTTTAAACCATGCGCTAAGCATGTACAATGAATCAAATTCGGAAAAAAAATCTTAAGACTAGTAACAGCTTTAACCATGTAGGATAGCGGAAAATTTTTTCCGAAAGTACTTGATTCGGTAAAAAGAAATTTGTCAATTTGCCAGCTGTAAACCCTAAGAATGGGGAAAGAAAAAGAAGTGAATAAAAGGAGATTAAAAGATTAAAAGGGGAAATTAGAATATCTCGGCCCAGTCATTGTCAGTCCAATTCTGAAACTCTTGACACTAGGTTAATCTTGCATCGCGATTGCCTCTAGATAGAGGTGGACATCTCAGTGGTCGCCGACTACGAAAATTGGCTTCATGGAAACGATTCCTCACAGTACTGCTACTAATTTTTACATTATATGCAAGCTGTAATTCATTAACCAGCTAGGGTTCTGTAATTGTTGGCTGCCTTCTGACATTTAAAATTAAATATCGGTCTTGAGCCACGGTTGTAGAGCGACCACGTCTTGGATGGTGCTCGGCTGGACTCTCAGTGTCTCTAAACCGACGCCACAAAAGACTTACCCAGCTGGGAGACACCCAGCTGATCAGCAACTTGAGTTGGTCGCATACCAGCTTGAATGAGGCTGAAGGCTCTATTCATTTCGTCCAACGTTAAATGTTGTCGTTGCATGGTAAAAAGACAATATCTTTAACTCACCTATAAAGAAAGAATGGTATAAAGTAACTAAAATTAAAAATAAACAAAACATAAAAATGTCGATTTTTTCGTCCCTTTTAAAAACAGTCTAAACCACGTATTGCTATCTTTTTTTTCTTTAAGAAGTTAGTGTCTATATCAAAAATTATAGTACAAGCAAATTTATATGGTCATGAAATTTTTATCAAATTCTTAAAATATCCTTAGACTTTTGCGTTGTGTGTACTATAAAATGCTAAGTGCTAAAACTTGTGAACGGGGTGGTGAAAGTGGAAAAAATGGTTAAATTTTAATTTCTCTGGAGTGTTTAAACGTGGATATTATTATTTAAGTATGTCGTTTGTCAGAGAGTGCATATTATTCAATAGTTCTTTTAATATATTGTTTAGTACTTCCTTAAGTGTTAGGGGTCAACATTTTAGTAGTATCTTAAAAATTTAATATATCTTTAATAACTTTAATACCAGACTAAAAACAATATTTTTTAATTATTGAAATATAAGAGTACCTACTCCACAGTTCATTTCTCGATATTACTTATTTGATCATTGACCTTGCGAAAATTGTTCGTAGAATTACAATTTGTCGGTTCGACTTGTTATTCTACAACTGTATTTCTTTAAAGGTAAGTATTTACTCTACTACTGTTTTGATGATGCCAGGTGTACACAAACACGAACAATTTTATTACAAAAATATATTTTTTTTTATTTTATAGAAGCACCAGTTAGTAAAACATGACATGTATCAGTCCTTGCGGGGAAAGATAAATTTATTTTTACGGAAATAGGATTTATTGGACAAAAATGTAAATGAATTGTGGTTACAGCATACACAATTATGGCAAATCTGACAATAGCAAGGAGGGAACTGTAGAAAAGCCCACTGGTCGTTAAACATTCAAGGAAACGCCACAATACTGGCTTCACAAGAACTACATAATATCAATTATATTGAAAAAAAGTGAAAAATTGGAGCAAAATTAATCACAATTTAAATAAACTAAACAAATACAAACAAAACTAAAATATAAAATTATTTTAAAATTATGCTACATGATAAGACAATTACAAATACAAAGCAAAAATTGGTTTTAAGAGATCCAGAAAATTTTAGAGAAGCATTAGCAAACACTACCTACTAGTGACTACCGAAGACCCTGCCGAAAAATGGGAATATATAAAGAAGTGGATCACTGAAGTCATCATCAACATAAACCCCAAAGAAAAAATAGGTAGGTAAAAATATTGAAATAAAGAGACCCTTAACATTTTAGAAGAACCATAAATACCATTATTACTACTTTAAAACACTTAGCAGAAGGGACAAAAATAATTGTATTAATAACATATGCGCAAAACTGAAAGAAAGATGAGAGCCAAAAAACTAGAGTACTTTTCAGAGAAGTCAAAGTCGAAATATAGCGAAAGAATTAAGAGGCCTTCTGTATATTCCTTCCATGTTCGTATTTTTGTTTCTTTGTCTGCTGCTCTCTGCCCGCTACCGTCAATTAGTTTAATTTCCATACCTTAAGTGAACCTTAAGTTAAGTGAACATGTGTCAATTTTGCGCAATGAATAATTACAAGAATTCCAAGATGCTTTGGTTGAATTACCGATTCAAAATCAGTGTCAACTTGAAGAAAACGAGAATGTTACCAAAGAAGAAGTTCAGGTAACCACAGTTAAACAGGAAGAATGCAATGGTCAGATTTCTCTGGAAAACCTTAAAAAGAGTCAAAAAAGATAACGCAGTAAACGTCGTGTGATAATAGCTTAAAAATGGAGTAAAACCTGGCAAGAAATACAATGTAACTATAAAGGTGTACTGGACTCAATGAAAATCGCTATGTCATTCCAATTATCAAGTTTACCGGAAGTGAAAAGTCCCGATAAAGTATGTACAGTTCAACAGTGGTACCGACAAAATCACACATTAAAAGTATGTTGCAATAACTTTATAGCAGCCTTTCTGGAGAACATTTTGAAGTCAAAAAAACACTTGACAGAGTTCGATACAGATTTTACTGAATCAATTGTCGCCGAGATGTAGAAGATTGGTACAAAAATATTCCATTTACCTTTCTACTTTTCTTAAAAACCGCTTTCTTACTTCATTCATTTCCTTTTCGCATTCTTTGGTCCTCATATGTCAGTTCGTCGGACGACATATTTGTACTTTTACTTCACTCTCTCCCACTATTCAATCGTTTTCTAGGATAGCGTAGAATGTCTTGCGCTTTAACCACTCCAAGCAAAACCTTACAACTTAATCAGCTTACTTATTGTGTATATGTAAGGTAGAAAAGACTCTAGAGTAGAAAGTCGTAGTAGAATGGCACCATATCTTTCCAGAGAGCATTTTGAACGATTTACAGGATATTCTCGGTTCAGTTCCGATCACAGAGAGAGGAAAAAAAGTACTTAATGGTTGTAATTGATTATTTTTTAAATATCCTGATATTACACCCCTTCCTAATCCAGAAGCGACCACAAGAGCAAAAGCACTCATAACACACGTCGTATCAAGAGATATCTTAAATTAATTAATAATTTAAGATATGCAGACGACACTGTGATCATAGCAACGAGTATAGAGGATCTACAACATCTTATCGAAAGCTTGAGTATAAATAGTGCTGAGATGGGAATTACTATAAACGCTAAAAAAACGAAGTACATGCTCATTACAAAAAGGCCACAAAATATACATCACCTATTGACAATAAATGGTAACGTGATAGAACAAGTACAAAAATATCAGTATTTGGGAACTTTGATCAATGAAACCAATGATCATACTGCAACTACTAACGTGCAAAAATCTAAATTTGGAGATTAGACTACGTACCATTCGCTATTTTATATTTTCAATATTATTATATAGAGCTGAGACTTGGACATTAAAAAAATGTAATTTAAAAAGAATCGAGGCCTTCGAACTCTGGTTATACCGCAGAGTATTGAAAATATCATGGACTGATAGAATTACAAATAAAGAAGTACTGGAGAGGGTTGGTAAAGAAACAGAACTAATCACCACTATACAAACCAGAAAACTGGAATACCTAGGCCACGTGATGAGGGGACCAAAATATGAAATTTTGAGACTGATAATACAGGGAAAGATTCAAGGAAGAAGATCTGTTGGCCGAAGGCAGAACTCATGGTTAAAGAATCTACGTGATTGGTACCAATGCAGATCGATTGATTTGTTTAGAGCAGCAAGTTCTAAAATAAAAATAGCCATTATGATTGCCAACCTCCGTAGGGAGACGGCACTCTAAGAAGAAGAAGATCAAGACATAGAGTTCCTTAAGAATTGCATTCTGAATATATGAATGACTGAATGAATTATGAAATAGTCGAAAGACAATAGAACTGTCAATACCTTTCAATGTTTGTCGCGTATAATCAAAAACATTGAGATACTTTAATTCTTCTATTCCTATTAGCTACTAGAAGTTTCGGTCGTTTTCCATCAATGATGATCATTGGAGGAGATATGAAGCTGTCTGAATATCTGATTTTTGAAAATTGCCTTCCAGTGAACAAAATTTATTTCCTGACGTTCATCGAAAATTTGAAAGAAAAATTGAAAAAAGTATGAATTTTCTCGTAAAACTTTGAAGCTTCAAAATAAAAAACTAAGGCCAGGCTCGACATGTATGCTACTGGGACAACTTTCGAAAGTGGTTACCCAGTAGGCTCATACACACAGAAACGTAAGAAAGAACTTTATCCGAAGCTTTAACAAAACTGGGAAAGCCCGTACACCGTCCTGCAGAAAATAAACGAGCTAATCTACCGCATCCAGTTTTCAGCTAGAAGTAAACCCAAGGCAGTTCATATCGAGAGGTTAGCTCCATACCATAGAACTAATCCACCCAAATGGCTTCAATCGGTTCCTGATATAACAGTTATTCAAGACCAATAACTATAAAGGAGGGAGCAGTGATACGACAGATCCGTGAGATTTCTACGACATTAGTAGAAATTGATATAGTAGAAATGTCTACTAATGTCTGGAATATCAAAAAATGTAATGAAGGGCACAGGGGAAAAACACCATTATTCAATTTTTTCAAAAAAGTGGCTGATAACGCTATCCAGTGGCTTCAAACGAATATTCAAACGAATAGTTTTTAAACACCGTGAGTCAAATAATATCGTAGTAATCCGTTACCCGGATTTGTGTTGTACCCTTGTCAGTCTGTTAGTTGTTGTTCAGCAACAAAGCTGTTTCTTTATATTATCGAGAGCGTGTTATTTGCCACTTCTTGTGTACCTGTGTTTAAGAATAATGGAAAGTAACTACTCAGACAGTTCCAGTGAAACTGATGACTCGTTCAGAAAACCAATGAGTAAGAAATGAAAAACAATAGGTCGAGCTAGGGATGTTATGAGAAATTTGGGAGCAGCGTCTCACGAGCTTGGGCCGGATTGTTTGTGCAAAAGACTTAAATGCTTTCAGAATATACCAGAAGAGGAACAAAAACGAATTATTCGAGAGTATAATCTGTTGGGAGATAGAGAAAAGCAGAACTCTTATTTGAGTGGCCTCATTACAGTGTTGCGTATAGTTCAAAGACGACCTCGAAATGTAAATCCTAGACATACCGCAGCTTCATTTTCATATAGAGTTCGTTTGTTAAAAGACAATGTAGTATATGTAATTCAGGTCTGCTTAAAAGCGTTCATGTCACTTCACGGTATTAGTGATTATAAGGTTAGGTACATAAGTTAGGTACAGATCTCCCACTAACTGTCGTGGAAAACATTCAACAAGACCCACACACGTGGAAAAACTTTCACAAGAAACCAAACAAAACGTATTTACTTATTTGAAATCTCTTAAAGGGAGAAAATCACACTATTTTTTAAAAGACACTAACAAAATTTACCCTCCTGCTGAGTTGAATATTTCAAAGCTACATACCATGTACTTAACTAATTATGCAGAACATAAAATTTCGTGGGATTTTTGAGAACAACTTCAACCTTTTCTTTGGCTATCCACGTAAGGACTCTTGTAGTACACGTGATTCCTTTAAATCACAAATTTTAGCGCTTGAAGAGAAGCTTAAAACTGCCACTGACAAAGAAGAAACAAGCCAGAATTTGCAAACAAAATAGACAGAAAGAGAGGTGCATCAAGAGAGGTGAGTTTTTTTATACATTAAAAAAAAATTACCAAAAACGTTACATGAAATCAATCACAATGGAATCTGTGACCATGGAATTTCAAAAAAACATGCTATGTCCTAACATTACGACTAATGATGGCTACTATCAGCTCCAACTGAATTTTGTTAGTTTCAATATTCATGTACTTTCAACGCAGCAAGCAATTTTTTATACGTATGATGAGTCTGTGGCAAAAAAGGCGCAGATGATGTTTGCTTCATGTTTCGGCATTTTGTCTTTAAAATTTTGCCCCTTGAAGTGCAAGAACTCTGTATATTTTACGACTTATGTGCGGGTCAAAATAAAAATTATACATTTATCTCATTTTTACATCATCTGGTAACAAAAGATAAACGTTTTAAAACAGTTAAGATGATATTTCCGATAAGATGGCCACTCTCTCACGGAATGCGATCGGAATATGAGCATTCAATATGAACAAAAATCCTATATAGAGGTTCCACAAGACTGGAGGGAGGTTGTAAGGAATACTCGAGTAAAAACCTTTCCATTTACATTGATTGATTGCGAAGTAGATGTAGTTTTTTAAAATTGGACTACTTACCTAGTATCACCTTATCCCCGAAAATGTCCATTTCCCACGAGATCGATTCGTATGTTAAAAATTTCGACAACTAAAGGACGACTTGTGTTCTAAAAACCTACTTTTTTTGGACGTTATGCATCCTCAGTCCTTGAAAAAAAACCTCCTTGCAAAAAATCAAGGCGCAGCCACTGCAGTAATTACCCCGTAAAAAAATTTGTACAATGGAAAACTTCCAATACCAACTGCAAAATATCGCGACCTTCTTCATTTATCCCAGTATTTGGAAAACCCCAAAGCAAAGCTTTTTTATCAAAATTTAACTGCTGACGCCCTTCAACAGGAAGGGTTTTCTATACGTTTATTGTTAATTTTTTAGCCTCCAGACTTGAAAAAACAATAAAATGGTTGTTTTCTCGAAAGTTACTTTTTTTGACTGACGGAGTTTCTCCCCTGTGCCCTTCGTATATAAGCACAGGAACTTGACAGTTTGAAGAATCGTAGTATCTTTGAATAGTTGTCATTGTGTAAAAGTTGTAAAGTATTGTAATATTGTTGGTGTTTAAATAAAGTTATTTTAAAGAAGTCTCAACAATACTCTAAGCTAAATAGCTACCTTAGGCTCGGTTTACAACAGACAGATTTAAAGCTTTAGTAACTCACTAGTTTGATAAAAAAAACATTTGTTCCGTATCATTTTATTTATTAATATAATACTCTCCAAAATTAACGCACCACCTAAAATGGACCATGATTTAAACCTATATTTCTTCTAAAACCTTAATTGGATTTCGACTATACGTCCATGGATTTCGATGATTTATTTTTCACGTTGTAGGTAGGTATATTTCTAGTTAATGACAAAATTACAAATAAAAGAATCAAAATTACAGTTTTATGGTTTAAAAGAAAAACAATATTTTAACTATAATATAAACAGTCAAGTCTGTTTTTGAACGAGTTGGTAGAGGGAGTGGAGACAATGGTATCGTTAAGGTTATTCCAGCACTCAAAAACTCGTATTTGGAAGAAAGTTCTGTCTTGATCTTGTAGAAAAATTTTCTTTCTTTAGTTTATACTGATGACCTCTGAGGCGTTCATCTTGATTTATGATAAATATTTCATCGAGGTTTCCAAAATTGAATTTTAGTATTTTAAATAATGTAATTATTTACATTATTTAAAATACAATACAATTACAAACACAGATA